GGAAGAAACCTCCAGAGGATCCTGGCTCAGTATAAGCAGCCATCCTCCACGACTCACTGGGGATGGAGAAGACAGAGTAGACACACACACACACACACACACACACACACACACACACACACACACACACACACACACACACACACACACACACACACACACACACACACACACACACACACACACACACACACACACACACACAACCACACATGGCTTCTGTGGTGTAACCCAAGCTTTATAGCACCCATAAGTTGTTGGTTATCGAACTGCATATGATTAAGTTCACACTGGGTGTTTCTCAATGTCAAGGCGCCTGGCCTTGCGAGGAAATGTCTTGAGAGGCCAGGCGCCTTGCTTACAAGGACACTGTCCTTCCTTGGTCAAAGAAATGGTTAAATGGAACAGACTTGCATCACGTGACCGCGGCTTCCACAGCGGTCACGTAACGTCACGTGACACTGGAGATAATGTTATATTTTATACGTATTAGTTTCAATATAAATATATAAAGAGACTTTTACGTTTTAAATTATGTATATGTTTACTAAATTAAATATATCAGCGAGTCACTACCCGCTAGCCACTGAAGCTGCAACTAATAAGCAACTCACCAACCATAGATAACTTCTATGGATCTAAAAAGTCATTTTCAATTAGTTGACTTACTTTTAAACTTGGTAATTGACACTGAAGTAGCTGCCGGCTTCTGATCCACTGTCCTTTTGAAAATACCGTGGTGTATTCTGGGTAATATTTGACCAAGGCTAGGCTACAAGACACCTCCTGTGTATCCTTGCTCAGCTAGCTAAACGGCTAAAAAAACAGAGAACACACGCCTAGGTAGAACATGAACATTGGAACATGTCTTGGCGGCTACTGATGACGTATCTCCTAGGCAACCGGGGTGGGGCCAAGACATCAAGGCAAGGTTCCTTAGCATAGAGAAACACCCCAGTGTCTTTAAATTTCATAATTTCCTGTTGTGATCACATGGGCGGTCATGGGTCAGGCCAGCCATTTTGTTTGGAGAAAGCATCCAGAGAAGGACAAAGTGAAATCCATTTTGCATCCACCTGTGCTGAGATTTGAAGAAACTTTGTTTGTAAGTTTATATTTCATATTTTATGTTAGTGGATGAGGATTTATGTATATATTGTGAGTCCTAACATTAGATTTGAGTCAATTTATAGATGATTGGATTAGCCTCATACAGCTACAGTGGGGCAGAAAAGTATTTAGTCAGCCACCGATTGTGCAAGTTCTCCCTCTTAAAATGATGACAAAGGTCAGTAATTTACATCATAGGTACACTTCAACTGTGAGAGACAGAATGTGGAAAAAATCCATGAATTCACATGGCAGGATTTTTAAAGAATTTATTTGTAAATCAGGGTGGAAAATAAGTATTTGGTCAATAACAAAAATTCAACTCAATACTTTGTAACATATCCTTTGTTGGCAATAACAGAGGTCAAACGATTACTATAGGTCTTTACCAGGTTTGCACACACAGTAGCTGGTATTTTGGCCCATTCCTCCATGCAGATCTTCTCGAGAGCAGTGATGTTTTGGGGCTGTCGCCGAGCAACACGGACTTTCAACTCCCTCCACAGATTTTCTATGGGGTTGAGGTCTGGAGACTGGCTAGGCCACTCCAGGACTTTCAAATGCTTCTTACGGAGCCACTCCTTTGTCGCCCGGGCGGTGTGTTTGGGATCATTGTCGTGTTGGAAGACCCAGCCACGTTTCATCTTCAAAGCTCTCACTGATGGAAGGAGGTTTTGGCTCAGAATCTCACGATACATGGCCCCATTCATTCTGTCCTTAACACGGATCAATCGTCCTGTCCCCTTAGCAGAAAAGCAGCCCCAAAGCATGATGTTCCCACCCCCATGCTTCACAGTAGGTATGGTGTTCTTGGGATGCAACTCAGTATTCTTCTTCCTCCAAACACGAGTTGAGTTTATACCAAAAAGTTCTACTTTGGTTTTATCTGACCACATGACATTCTCCCAATCCTCTGCTGTATCATCCATGTGCTCTCTGGCAAACTTCAGACGGGCCTGGACATGCACTGGCTTCAGCAGCGGAACACGTCTGGCACTGCAGGATTCGATTCCCTGCCGTTGTAGTGTGTTACTGATGGTGACCTTTGTTACTGTGGTCCCAGCTCGCTGCAGGTCATTCACCAGGTCCCCCCGTGTGGTTCTGGGATTCTTGCTCACCGTTCTCATGATCATTTTGACCCCACGGGATGAGATCTTGCGTGGAGCCCCAGATCGAGGGAGATTATCAGTGGTCTTGTATGTCTTCCATTTTCTGATAATTGCTCCCACTGTTGATTTTTTCACACCAAGCTGCTTGCCTATTGTAGATTCACTCTTCCCAGTCTGGTGCAGGTCTACAATTCTTTTCCTGGTGTCCTTCGAAAGCTCTTTGGTCTTGGCCATAGTGGAGTTTGGAGTCTGACTGTTTGAGGCTGTGGACAGGTGCCTTTTATACAGATAATGAGTTCAAACAGGTGCCATTAATACAGGTAACGAGTGGAGGACAGAAAAGCTTCTTAAAGAAGACGTTACAGGTCTGTGAGAGCCAGAGATTTTCCTTGTTTGAAGTGACCAAATACTTATTTTCCACCCTGATTTACAAATAAATTCTTTAAAAATCCTGCCATGTGAATTCATGGATTTTTTTCCACATTCTGTCTCTCACAGTTGAAGTGTACCTATGATGTAAATTACTGACCTCTGTCATCATTTTAAGTGGGAGAACTTGCACAATCGGTGGCTGACTAAATACTTTTTGCCCCACTGTATGTGTAAACTTAGATATTAATGGCGCAACAATAATATGTTTATGTTTTATTTACAGTTTCACACGTTTGCTCTGGAAACATTGTTAGAAAGCATGCCAATGAAGATGACGATACACAAGTAAACAGCGTTCAACTTCACTTCCACGCCTGACTCATCATTTAATTCTTTCAATATTCCGTACATCAGTCAATCAGTCAATCATCCTTTCTTTATAAAGCACATTGCAGGCATGAGCATGCCACCAAGGTGCTGTACAACAAAAGAATAAAACAATAAAACATATAATGCCACAGACATAATTAAAACCACAAATAACAATTACAAAATATAAAACATTAACAATTGCTAACCCACAGAATTAAAAGCCAGATTGTAAAAGTAGGTTTTCAGCCTCATTTTAAAAACCAGTACCAATGGAGAGCCCCTAATGGTTAGGGGCAGTGCGTTCCACAGTTTTGGACCCGCAACAGAGAACGCCCTGTCCCCTCTTAACTTCAACCTGGCCTTAGGAGCCACAAGCAGCAGCTGGTTCTCAGAGCGGAGTGACCGGGCCGGAACATATGGCTGCAGCAACTCTGTCAAATAGGTTGGAACCACAGCATTCAGCGCCTTAAACACCATTAAAATAAGTTTATAACGAATTCTAAAATCAACAGGCAACCAGTGGAGGGCAGCCATAATGGGTGTCATGTGTTCATGCTTCCTTTTGCTGTACAAGAATCTTGCTGCAGCATTCTGGACAAGCTGCAGCCGGTTTACAGTACCCTTACTTGCACCAAATAAAACGGAATTACAATAGTCGAGTCGTGAGGTAATAAAAGCATGAACAACAGTCTCACGGTCACGTCTAGATCAAAACGGCTTTACTTTAGCCAAACAGAGGATACTACAGTAACCACATGAGCATCCATGCAGAATGCACTCTCCATCTTCACGCCAAGGTTGACTGCTGAAACATCCAAATATGAGTTCAATTCACCGCAGTCTACGTTTGAAAAATCAACATGTCCACTCGGACCAAACAACAGTGCCTCTGTTTTTTTCCATTGAGACACAGGAAGTTTTCTGCCAACCATATCTTAATTTCTTCCAAAGAATCCCAAAAAATTTTTATCGTGTGATCACCGGCGCCATCTAGAGGCATGTACAATTGGCAGTCGTCGGCATAGAGATGGAACCCAATTCCAAACTTTCATAAAATGTCACCCAATGTGAGAATATAAATTGAAAACAGTAAGGGTCCCAGTATTGAAGTATTGGACATCTGTTTAGCTATCTGTCATTCATGTGATCCTACACGTAGTGACAGAATAGCTTCAGTGAAGAATGTTTGGTTAACATTACCACTCTGGCCTGAGGAGGCTTTCTGTAGGGGCGGTCAACCTGTTCATGAACACACTGGGTGTCATACTCACACTGTGAAGATCCGTGTTTACGCACTTCCATAGGCATCACCACACGCATGTGAGCCATCCATCCTGTGTCCTGTCATGTAAAGGGTCTGAAACACATTGCTTTCTAGTCACATAAAGTGTTTATTGCTGTGGGATGAAAGTCTGAACCAGGTGTCTCTCAATCTACATAAAGCACAGACACGTCTTTCCCCCTGCCGGTAATTACAGCCCTTCGCTACAGACGTCTGATTTACATTCGGGTGCACCTTTTATCTTTAGTCTCATTTTATTTTACTTGTCTGCCTGCTTGTTCTCATTCTCTGGATTCACACACACACACACACACACACACACACACACACACACACACACACACACACACACACACACACACACACACACACACACACACACACACAACAGCTGTTTGATCGAGATGTGAGTGGCAGTCCAATTCTCTGATGAGCTTTGAACAGACGAAGCATGTCAGCATTGTGATCGCTGTGTGCTCCAGAGAGAGATAAAGGTCGGACGTGTTTATTGTGTGAAGGAGAGAGAGAGAGAGAGAGAGAGAGAGAGAGAGAGAGAGAGAGAGAGAGAGAGAGAGAGAGAGAGAAAACTTGGATTGATTTGTCATATCTGAAAAGTACACAGATGTTAGCATATTTCCTATTGAGCAAACGACACAGGTGTTCCTGCATCCCAGCATTTTGTTGCTCCCATCAGGTGATATTCAGATCTCATGCCCTTTCAGTCATCACTCCTTTTTGTCTCTTTGTTTCTCCAGCCTGAAGAGTTGACTAATGCCCTGGAGATCAGCAACATTGTCTTCACCAGCCTCTTCTCCCTGGAGATGCTGCTGAAGGTTTTGGTCTATGGGCCTTTCGGCTACATCAAGAATCCCTACAACATATTTGATGGCATAATTGTGGTGATCAGGTAAGAATTAGAGAAACACAACCAAAACCATCAGATAAAACATCTAGATCAGGTCACCAGCTGTCTCAAAATGTTATTTTTTTCCTGATTTCAAGTGGCTTCCTAGTTTTTGTTCTTGTAAACTTGGTTATTTTTACAGAAATCCACACTGTAACCCGAATAAGTTCCCAGAACTCAAAAATTTTGAGGCAATCAATTGCCTCAATTTTTTTGAGTTTTGATACTGAAAATTTTAAGTTTTCATAAATTAAATTTCTTAATAAGTTTTACTCGTACATTTTAAGTTAATTTAAAATTGCTCATCCAATCAACTCAAAATATTTTAGTTACCATTTGTACAAACTTTCAGGCAACCTTGAACATTTCTGAAGCCGATGGTGCAACTTCCCCTATTCATATTTTTAATTTGCACCACCTGTTTATGGATGAATCCCAACAGTAACTCAGTATTCCCTTTTGTAATAATCCAAGCCATCGACATTAAGATTTATATACTGCAAAATGGAGTAACATAAACCACGATTTTAAAGCAGGTTCATTGAGAAACCATGTTTTACTTCATCTTTAGTCACTGAGTTTTTCATGAAGACTGAACATGAAAATGGTCTCCTACACCTATCTGCCAGATTAGCTTCTGATAGAAAACAGGTGGAAAAACACTTGCTCCAGAAAAACCGGACGGATTACACAGACTCGCCCATGGTGGCTCATGGCGGAGCAGGCTGTTGTTGGTTTTGTATCCAGGAAAGAGAAGACAACATCTCAGCTAGTAGAAGCTAATGTTAGCATTAAAATGTTATGATGTTTATATTTTATGTGGAAAAAAACAACTTAAACATGACATCATCACACTGAGGTTAATGTATCCTTGTAAAACCTTCACAAGTCATAAACTGACGAAGGAGAATCTGTCAAAGCCAAAAATATCAGTTTGAACTTTTATTTATATTCAAACGTAAGAGAACAGTGATTTCAGAAGAGGGTTAATTACTGTTAAAAGTAGGTGAATGGTCCCAAGGGGAGTCTGTGGTGAGTTTCAGATGCTGTCTTCAAATGACCCCAAGAATACATAATAATATTTGTTTATTAAGTTGTTATAAATAGATGAATAATAAACAATGCAGAGTGTAAACGGGCTAAATGGAGTTGTGTGTACAATGGTAAAATACTTCCTGTAAATATTAATGGTGCATGTAATTTTATGTGGATTGTCACTAAGCAGCCCTTAACTTTACTTATGTCAGCAGTTCTGACTTTTATTTGTGAGAACTTCTCGTGTAAAAACAGTAAAAGATTGATGTCTATGAGGAGGCAGCTTAAGGATCTGGGAGTTTAATACTTTGTTCAAACAGAAGTAGCACAGTGTCATAGCAGGGTTAGAAAGTCCCATATGCAATGTCTGAGACCTTTGGTTGGAAGATTGTGTAGGTCTGATTTACCAGCTTACAGGGAGAACCCAGACAGATCCGTGGTTTTATCATCGACATACACATATATGGACAATTCATTTCCATAGGCTCCAATAACACGTTTTTGAAGAAAAATGGGAGGCGGCCACCACCGCCATTTTGACCGTGTCACAGGTTCCGTCAAGCCCGGACAATTCCACAAAAGGGAAGAGAGGTGGAGCTGAGGGCAGGGCTGTAAGGCTGGGATCAACTGACGACACACGGTCAAACTAGCTACAAGCTAACCCAAAGCTAACACGGAGGTGGGAGCTAAGCTAATGGAGGTAGCAACCTAGCTACAACCGGAGTTAACTGTGCACAACACCAGAGCTTCTGAGTCAGAGATACGCCGGGCTGACCGCTGGGTAAAACCGGGTGGAACATAGAGGTCTCAGAGACCTCCACAAGCCGGCAGCCGCACAGCAGAGAAGCGCCGCTGCGATCTGAGATGTGCAGAGCTGCCGCTGGGGAGAACCGGGTGGAAAGATTTCCATCCCAGAGCTCCACAAGCCGGCAGCCCGCGAAGCAGACAGAAGCCGCGATCAGACAGAGATGCGCCGAGCTGTGGGGAGGGGAGAAGCGGGTGGAAAACATCGGTCTCCCGAGAGCTCCACAAGCCGATAGTCAGAACCCAGCTCCACCAACATGTTATATTTCAACCCATTTTCTAAAGTGCAGCATTATGTTAAATTCACTGGGTTTTACCCTATTACATTTAAATTTCATGGTTAAACAGTACATGTTAAAATCTAAGCTCAGCTCGGCAGTGACCTAAAATACATAAATATAATTTTATTTACAGAAATAAATGAAGTGGAGACTCCTTGGACGCTCTATTAGTGCAATTAATGCCACAGCAAGTCATTTTGTCCAACAATTGCACAAAAAAATAAAAATAAAAAAAAAAAATAAAACGCACAAACGCTACAACTAATGGTCTAAGTTGAGAGACTGAAAATGACGGAGCAGTTTCCAGGCCAGACCGAGGCTCTACTGAGGCCTTTCCACGGAGCTAGCTCTGTGGTCACGTGGGTCGGATGCTCATTAATTTTACAGACTTTTAGGCTTTTAATACACTTAAACAGAAGAGTGAGAAAAACATTCACCCCCTCAGAGTTGTCATGAGTGTAAACTAGATCATTTAAACCAAAAACATGTTTTGGTACCAGGCTGTAAACATGTTTATTTCTGCTGTGAAATTGGTATTTGTAACATGGGAGTCAATGAGGATTTGCTCGCTTCTGACACCAGCCCCCCAGTGGATGAGGGTGGAACTGCAATTTTTGGTACTTCCGTGATTGCTTAAATTTTTGAGCCGCATCGTGGGCGCTTGGGATTTATCCACAAGGACCCCCGTGCCTGTGAAAAAGACAAGACCGGAACCCAAAACCCACCCCTAAAAACCCTTACCCCCAACACATTAAAAACCACATACAGAGTTATATATATATATATATATATATATATATATATATATATATATATATATATATAGTTTTGATAAAACTACTAAGTGTGTGATTTGGTTTTTATTCATGTAATGTTTACAAATATAATCTTGGTAACCTTACGATTTAGAAAAAGACCCTCCTACAATCTTCCTGGCAAAGAAAAGAGGATATTTTTATGCTGCTGCTACATTTTAATCGTTTTGCTTTACAAAAGTTTCAGTCAAACCACCACATGTGTATACACTACACGTGTGTGTGTGTGTGTGTGTGTGTGTGTGTGTGTGTGTGTGTGTGTGTGTGTGTGTGTGTGTGTGTGTATGTGTGTGTGTGTGTGTGTGTGTGTGTGTGTGTGTTATTCTCTCACACAGTGTGTGGGAGATTGTGGGCCAGCAGGGTGGCGGTTTATCCGTGCTGAGGACCTTCCGTCTGATGCGGGTGCTGAAGCTGGTCCGTTTCATGCCGGCCCTGCAGAGGCAGTTGGTGGTGCTGATGAAAACGATGGACAACGTGGCCACCTTCTGCATGCTGCTCATGCTCTTCATATTCATCTTTAGGTAGGCCGGAGGAGCGTGCACGACCACAGATTCTGTCTCACATGCTTCTATGTGCATACATACATGTGATGATACAAGCGCAGCACAGAAAGCACAGCTACATAAATAAACACTGTGCTCCAAGAGGCTTGTGTGTGCTTAGATAAACAGGCCCTGGTTTGAATGAAGAGTTGCCAAGTTGACACAGCAGAGGCCTGAGCATTGATCCCTCAGCTCTAGTTGGACTTCAGTGTCTGTTTCCTAATAAAAGGCAGACTGCAGAGCAGGATTACTGCTGCTTCCTGGTAACAACTCACCTAATTACTCCTCCAACATCAGCTTCCTTTTATTGTATTCCTTGTTTGCCACTTGTGAGTACACACAAACTTTACATTTCAGCTGTGTTAACATGTAGACAGTATGCTCTAGAGAAAAGAAAACATTGTGTAAATGTTATAATATTTACCACCCCACCCATGTTAGATAGCTTTCTTAATGGCCTCTCTGTGCAAAAACAAAAGTTCCCAGATCCCAGCCTGTGAAACACTGGGAGTGGAATCTTGAAAGAATCTCATTAAATCAATAAAACATTTCTAAATGAATGCTAAGAACCTTATCTGGCCATGAGAGATGATTGTTTTATATATGAATACATTCCTACTGGAGTCCCAGACCATGTTACTGTATACTGCTGCTGCTAGTGAAACCAGCACGCCCCTCATTATAACGTGAGTTTGACAGTGGTGTAAAAGTTTATAGAACATTGCAACCACTGCACTTTTGCCCAGGTTCTGAATTTAGTGTTTTTTCTATGACTAAGGCTCAGATCCTTCGAAACAAGTGCAGATAAAAGTCTAGATCTGATGTTTTAATGGCTGAGCTGATAACCAAACAGGTAAAAGTCCAGACACTTTTACTTTTACACTTGCTCTTTTTGCTCTTTTACCTACTCTAAAGCAGTAATAATACATTTGATGCTTTAGCACAATCCGCAAGGCATCTCTGACAGGTATGCTGTCCATGGTGCTGAACTGAGCTCAGTGGCAGCGCTCCATTAACACTCGCTCTGTTGGCCACTCCAGATTTAATGTATTATTAAACTGGTGGAGTTTCATTCATGCTGCCACATAAACAACTTCACTGGTCACATTTGAATGGTTTGTAAATTCTATTTAATCTTGCAGATTAACTCTTTATTAAAGGCTATCGACAGTGTTTCAAAATAAAGGTTTCAACAATGTTTCCTTCAGCAAGAAACTGATTAGAATAATGGATCAGTAATAGATTTCTGCCGACCGACTCCAATGTCATGCTGAGAGCTAATCCAACTGTTTGAATCAAATGTAGTAACTCGTGTAAAACGTGCCCTCAAAGCCAACGTTAGGAAACATAGTTTTAGAATGACGAGTGATGATCAGTGGCTCGAGCTAATAAAACCAGTTTAAACTGGACTCAGAGCCATCAGGGGAATCTGTTCCAGCCACTTCAGCAGGACATTCATCCATTTATTTTCTCTGTCTCTGATGAGTTTGTGTGATATAAACATTTATCTTGCCTTTTCCTGTTTGTTTCCTCCTATCTGGGCCTTGCTCCCCCCCACCCCCACCCCCCCACCCCTGTTGTCAGCATCCTGGGGATGCATTTGTTTGGCTGTAAGTTTGGGTCTGAGAGGGATGGAGACACCCTGCCGGACAGAAAAAACTTTGACTCTCTTCTGTGGGCCATAGTGACAGTTTTTCAGGTAAGCGTAATCTTTTTCCCGACTGTTGAACACGTAAATATTTCCTGGACATCAAAATGTGACTGTAAAGCAACTTACAGAAAAGTCCAACCCCCATTGGTGCAGCTCAAAGTAAATCAGTTTGTGGGTTTGGGTTAAAATCAGGACATCCGTGGAAAGCATTTCCCTCTAAGCTACCCCGTGGGGAGCCTTGAGCTGCAGCTGGAACTAGTTGGTGTTTTGGTGGTTTCAGAACATCCTGAATGGGCCTTAATGTCTTTGGAGACAAACTCCAACAGGTAATTCAAATAGAGACCCAGAGTGAGCCGCAGGGTGTTGCATTCACTTGACATTTTTCTCAGAATACTCAAAATATCCATTCAGGTGTCATGAACCCTTTAAAGTAGTCAAAGGCAAATCTGCTCCATCTTTTCATTTCATTTTCCTGGAACACCAAAATTTAAGGAGGTTACAGTTTTATAATGTAGTCCAAATGAGTCTGAAAGTGCAAACGTAGGTGAAAACCTTGGGAGAGGTTGGCGACTAAAGAAAAAAGTGACTGATTGGGACTTAAAGCCACACTTTGCAACTTTTTAATATTTTAAAATCATTTTCTTGAGCCAGTATGTGCTAAAATTACCCTTTACAGGATTAATGAAAGGTCACTATCACCCCGTGTGGCCAGAATATTGTGTTTGCAACTTCAGACTGGCGCAAAAAAATGAGCTGACATACTTGGCACGGCAGTCTGCTTCTAGCACATTTCCTGCAAGTTTTCGATCGTGAACACAGCTGATTTGTTTAATTCAATGATGAACTGCCCCTGTAGACACTAAGGAAGGCAGGGAGACATTCTGTTAGATTACGGTGGTAAAAAGACGCATGCACAGCGAGGAGAAAGGTTTTGCTTTGGTTCTACTAAATGGAAACTAGGGGGTGAAAAAAGCACAAGAAAGTTGCCAAGTGTGCCTTTCATAGAGAATTTGATATACCATCGACCCCAAGATTGCAAATCAAAAAAAGATAATCATAATTAAACTGTAGAGAATGTTCATATATTTATAATTTGGTGATTCCCCCAAGTCACCAATCAACACAGCCCAGTGAGATTTTATTGGAGGAAATGTTGGGTCAGCATAATGAAAAGGAGGACAACAGTCATTTTCTTACCTTTTCTTATAATCTTATAAAACTCCATCTAAATCTTGTATCATTGTCTGAAAATGGCAGCTTTACACACCTTTTTGTTGATTATTAGTATTTGAATTTCTATTTGAAAAATGAGTGAAAATAATTATGAACAAAGAAAAGATCATAAATCCAGAATTAAACTTGAGGCAGTCATTATTGTTGTCCCAGAAGAGATCAGCTGTAAACTGCTGGTCAAGAGTTTTACTATTTTTAAATGACAACAAAGAAAGAAGTTGAGACGTTTAATAACCAAACAGGGAAAAAGGCCTTTTTAGAAAGAAAAGCTTTCGAAACAATGGCCACCCATAAAAAGATAAAATATTTGCAAAATTTCCTCTATTCCAGTCATCATCATCATCATCATCATCATCATCATCATCATTGTCTCTATTCATCTTTTTGTGGGTTCAAATTTCTGATAGAATCGAAATAAATGTGATTCCACTTTCTGGCCTTCTGTTTTTTACTTGAAGCTGCAGAACCAAACATCACTTTGAGGATTTGGTGCCTGTGTTCATAATAAAAACTAGATTATAATGGACTATTTGTGTAGATTTCATTAAAAAGACTTTGAGAGTCAAGAAGGTTCCACTTTAAGAGAAAGGACTCAGACTCGCATATTTATGCAGGGAACAAGACTCAGCTGCACCCCTCAAAGATGGGTAAAAAAAATGGGGAAATGTGCAATACATCTTTATGCTGAAGTATAATTATTTTCAGAAGATTAAATAGAGTGTTTATTTTTTCAAACTAACTACTGTCGAAGTTCTGCCTCTTTTCTTTCTGACCCTCCAATGGAAACTGGTCCAAAAGGACAAGGACAGTTGCCCATCACACCATCCAGCTCTACAAGATCCCTCACAGTTGTTTATCCAATCTGATAAGACCACAATTATCACATGTAGGAACAGTGTTATTAAATGTTGATCAAATGTAAGAATTTGCAGAAATATTGCGCATTTTGTATCTGAATGATTGCATTTTCATCTCCTCCACTGCTTTCCCAGATCCTGACCCAGGAGGACTGGAACAAGGTGCTGTATAATGGCATGGCCTCCACCAGCCCCGTAGCTGCCCTCTACTTTATTGCACTCATGACCTTTGGCAACTATGTCCTCTTCAACTTGCTGGTGGCCATTTTGGTCGAGGGATTCCAAGCGGAGGTATGATCATAAAGACTAAACGCTTTACCAGAGCGCTAATCCGATCCATATGGGATTAACGGCTGAGTGTTAAATCACCTGGAAACGTGAGAGAAGCTCGGCTGAATGTTTGGGTCAACCTGACCTAACTTTGAGTTCTTCAGATGAGATCTCCATTAATTCTAACTGTGCTTATGATTACGCCCACACACATACACACACACACACACACACACAAACACACACACACACACACACACACACACACACACACACACACACACACACACACACACACACACACACACACACACACACACACACACACACACACACACACACACACACTTATGTACTCTTGCACTCTTTGCAGTAGGCCATGTAAGAGCACACTTTCATTTTCCATGTCTCTGCCAGTGTTCCCTTCTATCTCACCAGTCATCTTCATTATTGTTCTGCTCATTTGCCAAAACCATAAAGCCAAACACATCACAAGAAAACTATGTCCGCTAGGCTAGACTGAGCGTCAGCCCACGTCTTCTGAATCCCATTTTTAGGAGTTTTGTTCTTCTTGTATGCTCTTTTCTTCCTTGCCAGGTTTTTTTGATGCATAGATATTAGATTCATGTTTGGCGTTGGTAGTGAGGGGAAGACAAAGCTTAGAACTCACTGAAGAGCCATGTTTTGGTTTTACCTAATGCTTTGTTTGATGTACACAGAACGTCAAAGAGGAAGGAACCAAGAGTCAATCACACGAGTGTGCAGTCTATCTCATTTCTGTCTACCCTTGTCTCTTTTCATTAAGGCGTGACAACATGTATGCTTTGACTTGTGAGGTTAGAGAATTGATTTAGCTGAGAGAAAGGTTGACAATCTGATGAAATATGAATTCATATGGATTTGTTGTCCAGCTATAGAGCTTATCTGTTGTAGAGATATCACATGCATTACTATGGTGAATGAGTATTTTCATCCAGAAGGGTTGAGAAGATGTGTGAAGGCTGAGATGAGCAAACAATGAAAAGGAAATATTAAGTAAAAAAATAGGTCCATGATTAAATGATGACAGTAAAGTATTTCTGAAATGGAACAACTACTGTTGCTGCCAAAACTTGGAGTACGACATAAATATTGTGGTCATCACAATTTGGTGACCTTGTTTTAATTATGACAGCTTTCATAAACTACAGCATGATACGAAAGGTGATCAGGCTAATGCAACATTCTTCACAAGGCCCATTGTCACCTCCATTCCAATACACAAAATACTTTTCCAATGTTTTTGCAAAAAAAAAGAGGGGATGATATGCCAGTGGTGATTTTTGGATGAGGGCCAGGTGTAAAGAAGGGAGTGGACTCATTAGGTCTAACTTTATCACAGCCATGAATAAGAATGGTACCTAAACATCCTCCAAGAGGAACTCCTCCATCCATCCAACAACAGCTTGGTGATGAACAAGGTCTTCTCCACGTGATGGAGCACCAGGCCAGTAGGAGCTTACCAAACCAAACATCTACATGTCCAGGGAACTTCCTACAGTAGGTGGCACATTGAAAAACCAAAACCCCACAAACCCACCGTTTCTAATTCCAGTCACTGATGATGAAGACGGAGCTCCATCAGTCAGGACCTGGACCAGGAATTGATTGACAGCATGTCAGGATGAAAATGGAAAAAAGTCTAGAAAATACAGGACCAAAATTTGAAATACTCAGTTTTTGCTTAAACAAATAATTGCTAATAAATGCCAAAAATAATGTTCTGTTGGGAGAAACATGAGACAACTAACTTTGTGAGTTGCCATAAAAATAGAAATGCTTCTAAACACTATACAGTATTATCATTTTTAATGTTTAACACTAGAAAGGCCATGGCATTCATTCTGGGCTTGCTAGTCCCTGACTTTTACTAAATCAGAATATTGTTTAATCATAAATAAATTTCCTGTAGATTGTGTGAAAGACAAATGAAATATGAGCATTCCTACCTGTTTTGGTTGAGGCAATCAAAAATGACTGCCAGAGTTTTTCTCGCTGGTTTTCCTGGGCAAGATGAAAATGGATAAAATAAATGTGGCCATAGAAAAACCTAGAAAGACTGATAGCATGGACAGTTACGATTGTGTCTTTGGTTGAAAAGGCACCATTTTGCTAATTTATTTAAATATTATCTGAAATTATAAAATTACAGGGTGTAATTTATTGACTTTTGAATGCAGCAACATTGTCAACAAGCCCTAAGCATTGTTGATGGTTTAGCGCCGATACAAAGCGATTATTAAGAACTACGTGATAGTTTTAAAAGGTTGAAAAAGGCTGTTTTTGATCAACTCAGTACAACATTGTCATTTCTACTAACAAGTTGTACTCCAAGTTGTTTAACCTCTCCCTGTCTCATGCTTCAGTCCCAAGCTGCCGCAAGTCTGCAACAATTATTCCCTTCCCCAAAAAATCTTCCATAGACAGCTTAAATGACTATCGACCGGTTGCCCTCACACCTGTAATCACAAAGTGTCTGGAGCGACTTATCTCCAACCACATCCAAACCCGTCTCCCCACCTCCTTCGACCTCCTTCAGTTTGCCTACCGGGGAAACAGATCAACAGAGGATGCCATCGCCCTGACGCTGCACACAACACTGAGCCACCTAGAGACCAGAGGAAGCTACGTCAGGATGTTCTTTGTTGACTTCAGTTCAGCTTTCAATACCATCATCCCAGGCATTCTTATCTCAAAGCTGCTGAGCCTTCAGATCCATCCCGCCACCTGCCACTGGATAAAAGACTTTCTCACAAATGGACCACAGCATGTTAAACTTGGCTCCCATCTCTCCTCTTCCATCCTGCTCAGTACTGGCTCTCCTCAGGGCTGTGTGCTGAGCCCCCTACTGTACACTCTGTACACATCGGACTTTACCACATCCCACACATCCACTGCCATCTTTAAGTTTGCTGATGACACCACTGTGGTCGGCCTCATCACAGACGAAGACGAGGCAGCGTACCGGGCAGAGGTCAGTAATCTGTCAAGGTGGTGCTCAGATAACAACCTCACTCTGAATATAAAAAAAAACAAAAGAGCTCATTCTGGATTTCAGAAGACACAGTCACACACACGGCCCTCTCCTCATAAATGGAGAGCGTGTGGACCGTGTCCCCTCCATCAGGTTCCTCGGCACCATCATCTCTGCTGACCTGTCCTGGTCTGCCAACACCAGAGCTCTGGTTAAAAAGGCTCAGCAGCGGCTGCACTTTCTCCGGGTCTTGAGATGGTGTGGCCTGGATCAGAAACTGCTGCTGGCTTTCTACCACTGCTCCGTGGAGAGCACCTTCACCTACTCTCTGAGTGTGTGGTATGCAGGCTCCACTGCTGAGGACAGGAAGGCTGTTCAGAGGACAATAAACACTGCCCAGAGGATTATTGGCTGCACCCTGCCATCCCTTGAGGCCATCTCCAGAAGCCGCTGCCTGAAGAGAACCGCTGCTATCCTCCGTGACCCCACCCACCCTGCCCACTGCCTGTTTGACCTGTTGCCCTCAGGGCGCCGCTTCAGGTCAGTTAAATCACACCACCAGACTTTCCAACAGCTTCTTCCCTTGGGCCATCAGACCATTCAACACAACAGCACCATTCAAACCCCCACATCCCCATCAGTAATGTTGACTCATCTGTTTTAAATCCTTTTAAATTGTTGATTTAGCTGATCTGAATCACTGGTTGTACTTTCTTGGTGTTTGCTAAATATTTTTAAATTGTTTTTAGTCTTCTATGGTTTTGGCATTTATTGTTATTTATTGTCTTGTGCACTGTTGATGGTGGACCATCTGTAATTTAATTGCCATGAGCAATTACAATAAAGTCTATTCTATTCTATTCTATTCTATTCTTCTAACATTCACCAACAACAGGAATAATGATGCCATGGTAGCAGACTGTGGACTAAACTGCTAATTTACTAGCCAAACACCTTCAGCTTACTTGACTCCATAGTTCAGCAGCTCCAACATTTCTCTAGGACTTCAGATGGAAAATGTGAAAGACCTTTAAAAGAGAAACAAACAGAATCATCTGCCTCCATTACCACTGAGCCGTTGCTTTAATTCTCTGTCTCCTTTTTCAACTTGACATCGTTATCTGCAAACACTACATTTATTTTTAGCTGGCCAAACTTTATTGCGTCACGGTTGCTAGGTAACGACCAGTTGAATGACGTGGGCCGTGCCTGGATGTATGTACCTCCGTGGTCTCTAGAGACACACACAGACAAATGTGTTGCATTTAATGTCCACATCGCTGCTTTAAGTTGCTTGTTTTATCTCTTTCATCATCTCACCTCTGCTCTTTCTTCACATTCTCATTCTTACCTTTTGTCTTTAACCGCTTCTGGATTTACACACAATTAACGGCAGGATTTTTGCTGCAAAGAGTGCAACCAGTCTAAACCTTATTGCACCTCATTCATCAAACCATGCCTGTGCAACAAATGCATGTGATGCAGAAGAGCGTTCGCATTGATGCATAGCAGCAACATGGTCATTTCTGAGTAGATCGTTTTCATAACCTTACAGAAATATGAGCGGATCACCTGGAAGGTAAAACACATCTGTTTCATTTCTACTCTGCTATGCTGATGACTCTGCTTTCTCAGACTGCCTGAGCAGATCCAGATGATCTGTTGCATGTCGAAGTGCTCAGATGGACTGAATCTTTTTTAACTATCTCCCTTTGCTCTTGTCTACTTCTGTGGTTCCCACTCTCATCTCTGCCTCCTTTCCTGTGTGCGCACCCCCTCTTCTCTCCGGCTGTACCCATCACTTCCGCTAACAGGAAATATCCAAGCGGGAGGACTTGCATGCCCAGCTGAGCCTAATTCAGCTGCCTGTAGACTCAGGGGTATGTACAGCACCGCAGCATTGACTAACTGCCCCTCTCCCCACCTTACCCAGTCTTCCTCACCCTTTTCCCCTTATCTGTCCCTAGAGTTGTCAGCATCAGACATGCAGCTCATTATGACAGAATGATGAATAACATTCTGGGACCATTTTGCATAGTTAATTTGACACACTAATATTTTAGTGGATGTTAATGTTGGCATTAACAGACAGATCTAAGCTGAGGTTTGCCTTTAGGGGACATTTTATTGAAAACTAAACATTTTCTGACTTGTCCTTGGTGGATAAGTTGTGCAGATTGAAGTTGGCATCTTTTTCCATTTTCAAAAGTTTTGTGATCCTTACTTGTGCCAGTTCAATCCAACAGAGTACTGAATGGGAGTTTTTCCAGTGCTTGGATGGACTCTCTCTGGTGTATAATGAATACGAAAGCTGAGCAACAGCAAATTACTGCCTCTTTGGTATGATGGGAAAACATATTGCAGCTCCTGGAAGCCTTTTGGCGTTTAATTAGAACAGCAACTGATGGCACAAGAAAAAGTAAATGATCTGACCAATAAACCATGTATCTGTTTTTATGTTTTAGTTTACAATCTAGAAGATTTGTTCCAACAGATCTGTGTCGTGATCATCACATGCTAGTTGTGCACAAGGCTTCCTGGGCCCTCATTTATCAACTGTACGTACAGATTTCTGTGTAGCTCGTGGGTTAGCACAATTTTACACATTGTGTAGTATTTACCACCAAATACTTGTGTGTGGAAATGTTCCAAAGTGTAAGAAAAGCTCTGACCGTGCGTACAAACAACATCTAGTGGTAGAACAGCGGAACTGCAGTTGTCAAGGTCTCAGTCATCCACGCGTGTTCCTCATCCAGAAAATACTTTTACCCAATAAGTAATTATGTCAGTAGAGAAACAGCTTTATCACATAACTGCTGTTAGAAATATAAAAGACACATGTGACCGACAGTATGGCTGATCTGGCGTTTTTGGAGGGTTTGGGAAAGCGTGCACTCCAGAGGGAACATGTCTTCTGTAAGCGCATAGTTCCCATTCCTGAAGGAGATCCTTGTGGAGCTTTGCCGTGATTTGGGACCCTCCGTGGAGCGGCAGACACAGCACACAAATCCGATTCCAGTCCATTTTCAATTACCGACAACTACAAAACCTCCTCTTTTTCCCGGACGTACACGTGTTGCCAAAGGTAACCAAACTTAATGGCAGCTCAGAGGAGGCTGCACTCAGACAACAAAATGAAACTGACTCCAAACAGAACATGTATATACAGCAGGTTAATAAATATTTGACACATCAGCACTTTTATCAGAAGGGCTATTTCTAAGTGGGCTATTGACACAAAATTTTCACCACATCAATATCAACTCAAGTTTTCAATTCATGCAAAGACATCTAAGCATTTAAATCTACAAATGGAGTGAAAAGATCCAAGGGGAATGATTCAACCTACTTCATTTAATACTTGTAGAAAAGCCTTTGGTTATTACAGCCTCTTTTATGGAGAGAGCAGTCATCTGCATTGGGCTCAGTGTGGTTAATTGAAGGCGTTTCTGTAGGTAAATGGCTGTGAACGGACACAAGCACCTGGGTAGGTGGGATTTAACGACAACTGATGGTGGAGGAACATGTGTACGAGTGGCCTCCTCATGTTTCATAAATCAGGATTTTAACTGTTAGTATGAACATTCTAAGTTTCATTTGTAGGATGCAATGCAGGACAGTTTACAGAAACGTTTGATAAATAAGGACCCTGGTTACAAAGGCCTTCACTCATATTTTTAATACATTGGCCGTGGTCTATAGTTGTAATGAATGCTTTGTAAGTCATACTCTAGGGAAAAAAACACGGTGTGCCTGTTTCAACACAGAGTATTGCGCCAGGAGAGAAAGTAGCTTTTAAAGGAAATACTGTACCTTCATTCTGCACACCTCTAAATGCCCCGTGGAGGTATTATGTTTAAAAAATTCAACCTTTAAATCCAACACATTCCCCTCCCAATGACGGTCGAGTTAGCTTTACTTTAAACTTCTTACTTAAATTTCCACACACCTTTTACAATTTCTTAAGTTTATTTTTATTTTAATTCGGTTTTCACCCCAACAGGAAATCTAAAGGTTGATGTTCACCTTAGGGGGGAAAAAACTACATGTTTTATTTATTAATTTATTTGTTGTGTCATTTACTCATGGTAAAGAACAACAACAATAATAATACTGTTAATATTTTTTACTTGTGTCTCTTTAACTGTTTGATTTGTATGTCAACTTAAAGAGTGTTTTAACCTGTATTATGCAATTTTTTTTTTACCGTGTCCTGTCTGGCTGTGAAGCAAGCAGAATTGATGTCTGAATGCTGGTAACAAGCCTTACAGATTTACTCTCAGGTGGAGCATCAAAGTGTCTGCTTTTAATGTCACGCCTGATACTTAAAACTTTATTGTTATTGTTTTTTGAATGCTTTGTAATTTTGACCAAACAGGGAGACAGAGGTGAAAGAGAAAGGAAAAGACAAAAGGTGGGGGGTTCCATGAAATGAGCAATCAATGATGAACAAGTCTGCTTCTAGACCTGCAGAAAAGGGACACAACAACAATACAATAGGAGCAAGCTATCACTGCGTCAACCTGATGAGGAAATGTATAATCAACATTGTTTTACTGAACAATCACACGATAATAAATCACAGTGTATTTAGTGCCAACCACAGCCTTAAGACATGTGTCGAACGCACCCAAATCCATACTTATGAGACCACCTGTGTGCATACCTGCGCTTGTATATGTAAGGTTTCTCTATAGGAGCGTCCAATAGAGAGTGTGAGTGGCCACAGATCTGCCCCCCAAAGATGTGTAGGAGATGGAGGGAGCTCCAAGTCCCAGAGATCCAGGAGCTGCCCCAGAGCACAGGAAACCCAAGGAGACTGCGACCAGAAAAGCCCCTGCCCTCCTTGAGAGGTGTAGAAGATTGCCCCGGGGGGGCCACAACCAGCAGCCGGCAGAGTCCCGGGAGATATCGGCGGCAAGCCCACAGGCCCGCCTGCAGCCTCCCACCCCCTAGCTGGCTGAGCCCGTGACCCAGCAACCCGGGACCCAGGGGCGACCACCCCCGCCGGGGACCCAGCAGAGCCCAGGAACCCAGGTCCCACCAGGCAGCCACGGGGATTGATCAGGTAGACGCCAAAAATCTTAAACCCCCTGACCTGGGAGCCACAAACACTCAGGCAGACCAAGACACCGTACTCCACACCAGGTGTGGCAGGGGGAGGGGAGACAAAGATCTATATCATCAAAAGAAGTCTCAGGAGAGGGGATGAGTTAAAGGCCCCACCTGACATATACAGTCACACACAGACACAGTCACACACTCCCTTCCTCATGCTCACACATACACACACAACCAAAGACTTACAAAAATGCAGGCCGGACACCCACTCATGCTCCCCATACACACCCTATTGTCTCTGGCCCTGGTACTGCTGCACAAAGGATACAACCATTACTGGTTACCAGAGTTTGACCCTTCCTGCTGGGGTGCTGATGAGCAGGCTCTCCCCACCCAATGCTGAGCAAAGCAACCCACCACCTCAGACCTCAACCAGATGGCCAGATCTCCCTCCTAGCCTCCAGCCCCAGGAAGACAAGCAACAACAGAGGTGTGCTAAGACCCCTAGCCTCCCTCCGCCTGCTCCAATATAGTGTTAGTGCATGTTGATGAGGTGTATTCGTGGCTGTGGTGAGCAGGCAGTGTGGGCATCTGGCCTACGCCAGCTGATGCCACCACACCACCCCACTTGCACCCACAGCCCTCTGTGTTTAAGTGCAGTTTAAAATTGGAAGTGGGCACCTGCACTTGGGATGAGGCTGAAAAATCCCCCTGCCAAATGCCATTGGATGTGCTCACTCCCAAGGCCCTAAGTGTGTGTTTACGTGGAATGTCGTTGGTGGAAGTGTTTAAGGTGCAAATAAAATTGGGGGGCAGGTTGCCACAGGAATGCAGAAATGGGGTCCATGCCCGCACCCCCTGACTTGTCCACCCACCAAGGTTCTATGTGCATGTTTGTGTGATGATATTAGGGAGCAGGAGGAGAAAAATGTGTGGGGATGGGGAGGAATGGCTGACTGCACTAAAGCCCTCCAGGGAGGCAGCTCCCCCACTGGCCCCAATAAGCACTTCCATTGCCAAAATGCCAGCCAGGGCATGGAGACCCCAGCCCATCTTACCAGGGCCCAAAGCAGCAGCATCACAGAGCCTCACGTAGTCCGAGGGCACCAACCCAGCCCCACCCCAGCTGATTATCTACTCCCATCCCTGCATTTGCACAACTTCCAGAATATGTAAGACATGAGACATCCAGGTGAGGTTGGGTCCTCCCCCTCCTGGACATCCCCCTCCCCTGTGATGGGACAGCAGAGGAGCCAAGGTCTACCCGAGGCCCCTGAGCCTGGGCCATGCACTGCTGCGTGTTCCTGTATTATGTAATTTCTGTTAAGGTGTTCTTGATAGTCCTGAAAGTCCCTTACAAAAAATGTATTGTTATTATTATTATTATTATTATTATTATTATTATTATTATTATTATTATATAGTTTTAACAATAATCATTAAAATGTTGAGTGAATATTTAATAAAATGAGAGTTTAGTTTAAACAAAAATATAGCTCTAGCATGCACACACATACACACACACAAGTCTAGCATTCGTTGTGAGGACCGTCATTGACTTCCATTCGTTTTAGTGACTGGATTGTGCCTAATCATAACCCTAACGATAACCAGTCTACTCTTAACCCTAACCCTAACCTCAACTTTAAGTAAATTCACACCATACCTCTAAAACTAACCACTAGAGCTCTTTAACATTTTACCACAGTGAGGACCACTAAAATGTCCTCACTTCTCTACCAATGACCTCAGTTTACAGGTACAAAATTCACTTTGATGTATAGACCAGTACACACACACACACACACACACACACACA